GTATAATAATCTGGAAAAGGTTCCATCACTCAAATCTTAGGCCCAACTCACCAAGTAATTATGATCTCCTCAAAGTTATTCCTGCCATCCCTGTGCCTACTACTTCATTTTTCTAGGCCCCTCGACCCATGCATTCCTCCTACATATTTCCTAGAGAGGCTCTGACAATTAATCGAAATTCCCATTTTGCTTCACACACTGGCCTTCTAGATTCATACCCATTTAAACTCCACAACAAATCCAGTGTGCAAGAGCCATGAGAATACTTTTAATTTGTACAGTTCTAACTTTTCAAAGCCCTTTAAGATCTGTTATGTCTTTGGTTTCTCCCAACAAACCTAGAAGGTTAGGTAGAGCATATATTAATTTTCCATTTTATAGATGAGGAAACTGAGTCACAGTCATAGACCCCATGATGGAATGCACTTATTCACCAAACTCCAGTGGCTCCCTATCACTTTCAGCATCAAATATAAAATCTTCCATTTGGCATTCAAAGCCCTTCATAGCCTGGTCCCTTTCTACCTTCCCAGTCTTCTTACACCTTATGTCCCACCCTCCCACCCCAATATTCTGCTGTCCAGAGTTCTTGTTCCTCTGGCCTCCTTGTTCTTCTCAAAAGATCCTCCATCTCCAGACTCTGGGCATTTTCACAGGCTGTTCCTCATACCTGGAATACTTTCTGTCCCTATCTTTGCCTCTTGGATTCCCCTCCCTTCAAGACTCCATTACAATCTTATCTTCTGAAAGAAGCCTTTCCCCACAATGCTCCTCCATCTTCTCTCAGTGGGTCATCTCCAATTTATCCGGTATACTTCTCCTTTGTCCACAGTGTTTACATGTTGCCTGCCCTCTGAGATGTGAGCTCCTTGAGAACAAGGGCCAAATTTTGCCTTTCTTTGCAACCCCAGTACCTAGCACAGTGCACATAATAGGTGCTTAATAAATGCTTATTGTCTTAATGCTTAATAAATGCTTATTGACCAACTGACCTTCCCTTCATAGATCCCTAGTTTCCTTCAAAGCACAGCTCAGGGGCCACTTCTTACATACGACTTTTACTAATTACTTCCATTTATTAGCACCCTTTCCCTTTTGAAATTGGGGAGCTAGGTGGTGCAGTGGATACAGAGCCAGGCCTAAAGACAGGAAGACTCATCTTCCTGAGTTCAAATCTGGCTTCAGACACTAGCTGTGTGACCCTGGGCAAGTCACATAACCCTGTTTGCCTCACTTCCCCATCTGTAAAAATGTCTTGACACAGCTCTCTTCTGATGCTCCTGTTTGCTTGGCTGCTCTTTCTTAGTCTCCTTTGCTGGATCTTTGTCCATGCCACACCCATGTATGTGTTAACTGTGTGGTAGAGCCCAGAAGGCTTTCTCCTTGATCCTCTTTTTTCCCCCTTCTATACTTTAAGTCAAGACATCACTCCATGATGTCATTGGTCCTCTTTGAAAATGAACGATGGCAGAGTAGCTAGATGGCAAAGTGGATAGAGCTTCTTCCCATCCCATCACCTATTTTAAAAGATATTTTAATAATGTTTTCGGTTGTTTCCTGCCCCCCCAATTTCCTATTAATTCCTACCTCCCCATAACCCCTCCCTTATAACAAAGAGAAATAGTTGAGCTAAGCAACAAATGTCAACCATTTCTTCCAGTGTGTGTAGCCTTCCACATCTGTGGTCCATCTCTATCAAGAAAGAAATGTGTCCTAAGGAGGAATTTCCAGGTATTAAGACCGATCATTGCATCAGTCTGAATTCTGCTGCTCATTGCTGTTTTTTCTTTACATTATTGTGATCATATATATTATTTAACAAAATAATTTATGTAATAAAATAATTCATATAACATGCTAAAAGATGATTTAACAAAACAATAACAATTCCAGCCTATTTTCCTCTATTGTTTCTTTATCATCTCTTTTCAAATGCGTTTTATTTTGCTGTCATTACTCATTTTTATTCATAGGGTACATATTTGTGTTCACATCCTTTTCCTTTCCTTTCATTAATGTCAATAAATCTTTTCATATTTCTTCATACTCTTCATATTTATCATTTTTATAGTAAAATAATATTCCTTTATGTTCACATACAACTTGTTTAGACATTTTCTTTCTTTCTTTTATTGCTTTTTTTTTTTTTTTGGTGAGGTAATCAGGATTAAGTGACTTGCCTGGGATCACACAACTAGTAAGTATCAAGTGTCTGAGGCTGAATTTGAACTCAGGTTCTCCAGACTCCAAGGCCAGAGCTCTACCCACTGTACCACCTAGCTGCCTCTGTTTAGACATTTTCTAATAATTGGACAAATGGGCTGTGTACCATTTCATTCTTTGCTATTATGAATACTTTTGTCCAGATTGACACTTTAACAACCTTAGGTTATAATTTTAATAGTGGGATGACTGGATAAAAGGGTATTTACAGATTCCTAATTTATTGTCTATTGCCATATTGCTTTGCAAAAAGAAAATACATTACAAACTCTGCAATCAGTGTAACAATGTACCTGTTTTTCCATAGTCCTGGCAACTTTTCATGTTAACATATATATCCAATTTAATGGATGTAAGGAGGTACCTCTGAAATTATTTGAACTTGTGTTTTTTGATGATCAGAAAACTTTAAGAGTTTTCCAGGTAGTTCTTGATGATTTATGGTTCTTCTTTTAAAACCTACTTGCTCATATCCTTGGCCATTTGTCTATTTAACAGAGTTTCTTCTAATAATAGAAAGAAAACCCAGATGCTGAGAATTAATATGATACTTCAGTTATTGAGTCAAGAACAGGATCTTTCTACTTACCCAGAGAACACTGGGGGAAAAAGTACACTCTTTCCTGGCATTATTCTGTGGTAGTGCAAAATTTGGGTCCAGTTGTCTTCTGTGGCTACTCTCTGTTCTAGCTCTTTCATGCACCCTTAATTAGTATTCAGGTGAATACTAATTAGATTAGTATCAGTAATTTTAATTAGTAATAAGTTAGTAATATTAATTAGCATTAGTATAATAGTAATTAGTATTAGATTCAGGTGAAATCAGATAACCATTAACATCAAAGATGGCCCTTAACAGGAAAGGAATCATGGAAAGGTGATAGGACATCTGGACAAAATGGAACAGGAGAGGCTAGAGCAGTCTCTGCTTTGCCTTGATGATGGTAGAGAACCTAAACTCTACAGTGAACATGAGTTACTCACATCAGTAAAGATAACGATAATAATAGTTTTGTATAGTGCTTCCCATGTGCCAGGCAAGTCAGTTACCTTTCCTGAGCCCTTTTCCATACCATATCTGAAAATGATGAATTTGGATTGTGTGATCTCAAAGGTCCCTGCCAACTCTTACTCTATGATCCTAAGATCAAAAGATATTTAAAGCATGGTTTGGACATAAAAAGGAAGCACTATTTTACATAGTAGGCAGTAAAACTATGGAACTCTTTACATAAAAATAAGTTAAACAAAAAAAGTAATGTTTCAGGAAGGACTTAGATAATATATGGATAAAAGATGAATAGCAATTCATGGAGGACAATACCTTAGAAAAAGCTAAATTACCTAATTCTCCCACAACACACAGTTATGGTTGCCACTGACAGATGCAGAAACCTGGGTTACATTGACCATGGTAACCATAGTCGGACACTATAACCTTTCTTTTGTAACCTTATGTGAGAGGCTCCCTCCCGACACAAAAGATCCAGGTGTACTGTGGAGAGTTCTTGTTTCCCTGGATCATTTCCCCCATACAGATAGCCTAGCAATATCAATACAACACTTTCCCAAGGGTAGTCATCCATTCTTCTGATAAGCACTTAGGTTCACAAACCTTAAAATGTTAAAAGTTTTATTTACATATTAATAGGATCATAGACTTAGAGCTATAAGGAACTTTACATTTCACGTAGTCTTATATCCTTCTTTTATGGAAGAGATACTAAGGTCAAAAAAGTTAAATGATTCTCCCTGGGTCACATGGGTAATTAATCAAATTAGTTAAGATTTGAAAGGCAGTACTGTCAGTCCAAATCCAACACTTTCCATTGTATCACACTGCTTTTCTTATTTATTGGCACAGAAAGGACTCTCATTCAATCCCCTAGGGACCCAAGAACTCCCCCTCCAGTGGACAACGTCACCTCTTATTTCCTCAAAAAGCAATGCAGTTTCTGTGACTTAGAGTACTGAACTGGGTGATGAATCAAGGACCCATAGGAGAAGTTATAGTTTGCTTTTCCACCACTCTGTTTCTCTTTAGAGTCCCTTTATTTGAGATACGTGATTTCTGCCCCCCAGTTCTCACTAGATATCTGCAATCACTGCTCCCTCTCCCTGTGTGTTCTTCTCATAATTTAGCTCTGTACCCTGACCTCTGCCACTTCATCTCTTGTGGTAGGTCCTTTGCTCACTTCTGCTATTCTGTCCCTGTCCTGAAGATGTTACATTCTCTAAAGACCACATGTGTCACAGTTGGTCCATATAAAAAGGCTACCCTGCCTTAGCCGAATAATGATGATGATATAGGGGTGATGATAATGATAGCTAGCACTTACATAGCACTTACTATGTGCCAAGCACTATCCTAAGTGCTTTACATTATCTTATTTGATCATCACAACAATGCTGGGAAGTAGGTGCTATTATTATTTCCATTTTACAAATAGGAAAACTGAGACAAACAGGTTCAATGACTTGCCTAGGGTCACACAAATAAGCTCTGAGGTGAGTTTTTAACTCAGGTCTTCCTGATGCTAGGTGCAGTGCTCTATTCACCATACAACTTAATGTATTTACAAGTCAAAATATACCACAAAATGGAAAACCTCCATTTTTTGAAATCTCTTGTATATTTCATAGCTCTTGGCCACTAATAAAACATAAAGTCTCTCAGGAGCTACAATAATGTTTCCTTTTTATATCATTTGAATGAATATTTATTTTGAACTCTATTCTGGCTTTGGATGAATCAGTCCACTTGCCTCCGTGCTCACCTAATTAATGGGTAGTGTGTCTCCTCCTCACATCAGCATCTGCTGCTGAGACACAAGAGTTAGGTGGGACATCCTCTTATCTTTCCACACTTGTCTTTTGATTCACCTTTGTACGTCAGGGCCACCGGGGTGGGTTATTCAAATTACCCTTCTCTACTTCATGAAATGTCAATATCTGAAAAAGAGAGGAAAGAAGCACAATGGACTATACCACCATAAGCATTCATATAAATCTGTAATCCCCTCAGGTCTTATCTCCTTTTTATGTTTTTTGGACTTTCCCATTGAATATCACTTTGATGACAGTGTCTTCTCTAGATATAAACCTGTTTATCTCAGTCTGGTTTTTGTTCCAGAATATCTACCTGTGTAGTTGAAATGAAAGAGTTAGGACATTTATTGAGATAATTGTGTCTTCAATATAATTGAGTTGAATAGAAGTCTAAACTGGTCCACCCAAAAAAAATAAATCTAGTCTAGAAACATTTCCAGTGAACATTCCAATGACTTTGAAATGCTTGAAAAACAGATGTATTGCCTTTCATGCTGAAATCACTGGGGACTACACTTTTAAGTCTGGATTTCCTTACAGATCCTTAGGTTGTAAATGACAGATGATTCCATGGAAACATCCTAAGATCATCAAGATTCTTTCAAGAAGCTTTTAACCACAGTTCATCCAATTACAAAATTCAAATGGGTGAAAAATAACAAGGAAAGGCCAATGGTAAAAATCTAATCCTGTTCAAGCTGCTACTACCATGGACCAGAACTCAGAGCTGGCACTTACATAAAGACTGGAGAAGAGGGGATACTGGAAAATGAAAATGAATCCAGGCTTGGCAGACCTGCTCCATAAATTAATCAACCTGTATTAGGAAACACAGAGAACTCGAAATCAGAAATCCTGGGTATTAGCACCAGATCTACCTCTTAGCAAATCTTTGAGCATATAGACATTGGCACTATCTATATATTGTCCATAACAGTAGTTCTCAAAGTATAGTCCTCTGACTCCAGTACAGGGGGAGGGATGGGGAGGAGTAGGCAGAATGCAAGACCCTTTCAGGGGGTACCCAGGGACAAAATGATTGCCATGATAATATTAAGATATTATTTGCCTATTAAAAGATCTCTTTTTTTTTTCAACTAAAGACTTATAGATGCCTCGAGGCAGTAAGGTGGCACATTGGATGGAATATTGGGCCTGGTTTTAGGAAGAACTGAGTTTAAATCTGTCTCCAGACACTTACTATCTGCCCTTGAAGGCTAAGACTGTCTTTCGCCTCTTTTTGTATCCTTAGGACTTGGTACAGTGCCTGGCATATAGTAGGCTCTTCATAAATGTTTATTTGTTCATTGATAGAATGTTATTTCACAAATGAGTGTAATGTGTAAGATGCTTTCTAGAGTATGTCTCATTTAGTGCTTCCTGGAAAAAACTAGTACATTTAAACAATCACAGAATTTCAGAGTTAGAAGGTGCCTCAGAAACCATCTAGTCTAAGTCTACCAAGAAAGGAATTCCCCTTACAATATGCTCATCAAGTTGTTATCTAGCCCCTGCCTGAAGACTTTTGATGAAGGGATGTCCATGACCTCCTAAGGTAAGCCATGCCCCTCTAGGACAGTTCCCATCAATCCCATATTGACTTAGGAAACCACAAATTAACATTATCTATGTTTTATTGTATTTTTATTTATTTTGTTAAATATTTCCCAATTACATTCCCATCTGGGGAGTTTCGCTGGCCAAAAGCTGTGTGTTTAATATCTCTGCCTCAGATACCTGGAGGCGGCTATCATGTTGCCCAGAATCTACTCTTCTCTAAGCTAAACAACCCCAGTACCTTCAACTAGTCTTCATATATTAAGGATTCAAAGACTTTTGGCAACTAGGTTGCCTACCCTTGGATGATCTCACAACTTAATGTCCTTCTTGTAGCTCCTAGAACTGAATATAATAGTTCAGTTGGTGTCTGTCTAGAGTAGAGTATAATACTACCACTTTCTTATTCTTGAAAGCGATGACCCTCAATGCAAAATAGCCTTCTATGGCTACCATATATCATACTTTTGATCCATATTGAATGAATGAATGAAGTGGTTGGGAAAAAAATAATTTAAGTTCTTAATATGTGCTAAATACTGAGACTACAATAAAAACCAAGACAATTCCTGCTCTCAAGGAGCTTACATTCTAATAAAAGAGACAACATACATGGAAAGTTTCAGCTGCAAGTTCAGATAGAAAGTTCCTCTGGTCCTCAGGGTACAGGGACAAAGCAGATTTTAATGTTTCTTCTTTAATGTAATTTCCACTTATATCAGTCAATCAGTAAGCATTTATTAAGTACTTACTGTGTGCCAGGTACTGTGCTAAGTGCTGGAGATAGCAAGGTAAAAGACAGTCCCTGCTCTTGAGGACTCACAGTCCAATGGAGAGAGAGCATGCAAGTGACTATGAAGCCAAGAAGCTATGTGCAGGATAAATTGGAACTAATCAATGGAAGGAAGACTTGAGAATTAAGAGGGATCAGGAAAGGCTTTGTGTAGAAAATGGGATTTTTGCTGGGATTTGAAGGAAGCCAGGGAAGCCAGGAGGCAGAGACGTGGAGGGAGAGATCTCTAGGAAATGGGGGACAGCCAGAGAAAATGCCTGGAGTTGGGAGATGGAGTGTCATTCTAGGGCTAGCAAGGAGGCCAATGGCACTGGAGAGAAGAGTTCCTAGAGGGAGGGATGGAAAGGTGTATGAAGACTGGAAAGATTCGGGGGTGGGGTGTAGGTTATGAAAGGCTTTGAATGCCAAACAGAGGACTTGTACTTGATCCTGGAGGTGACAGAGACCCACTGGGATTTATTGAGTGGGGTGGGGGTGGAGATGACATAGTCACACGTGTGCTTTAGGAAGATCCCTTTGACAGCTGAATAGATGACGGACTGGCGTGAGGAGAAGCTTGAGGCAGTGGGATCAAGCAGCAGGCTACTGCAAAAGTCCAGGCATGGGGTGATGAAAGCCTGCATCAGGGTGGTGGCAGTGTCAGAAGGGAGAAAGGGGCATATTCAAGAGATCTTATGATAGTAAAATCAACAAGTTCTGGCAACAGATTGGATTTGGGGGTGAAAGAGATTGAGGACAATCATACTGAGCTTGCAATTCACTAAAACCCCCAAATCTTTTTCATTCTACTAACCATGTTTCTTCCTCCATCTCATACTTTCAGAGATGATTTCTGAATCCACATGCAAGATTCTTACATTTATCCCTATTGCATTTAATTTCATTAGATTTAGCCCAATGTTTTCTCCTGTCAAGATCTTTTTGGGTCCTCATTGTATCCTAATTGTGTCATTTCCAAATTTTCTGAGCATATAATCCATGCCTTCAACTTACTATGTCAGTATGTTATGATTAGTCATGAAAATTCATATATTCTCTCTGTAAGGCCAATAACATGCTAGTGAAGGCAGTATGTAATACATTCGTAATAACAGGTAACAGCAATTCATATCAGGGCTCTGATGCTACATCAAGGGAGTAACTGATATAGGTATGAAAGAACAGATAGTCTTTCCCAAGCAATGTTCCATAGGGGACCACATGTTTATAGTCACACAAATATTGAAAGTTGTAGAGAATACATAATCTTATTATACATATTTCATGTTAACAATATAAAATAGCTTGATTCAGGAAAGCAAAACACAGTTTTAAAGGCTTTCTTCCAACAAGGTGTCTTATGCATGCGTCAGAATCAAACAAGACTCCTTGAAAAGAAGAACAATAGAGGTACTTTTTTCAGCAACCTGTTCATAAGCGGAGAGGCACACTCACCAAAGGTGCTTGTCACTGTCTTGAAGGACACCCAGTGAACAGTCCAAATATAAGAAGGATTCCCTATGGATAGTGAGGTCTTATAGACACTGCTGTTTGTGGATGACATTGGACTGATAGCTCTGGGACCCCAAGTATTACAAAACCTTGCTAATCAAGAGTTCAGCCTAATAATCCACATAGGAAAAACCAAGTAGATAAATAATGCCTCTTGTCCAGACTACGATATGAAGTTGGAAGAACAATACAAAGACTTGGTCCATTCAATACCTTACACAAAAGCACTGTACTGTACTGACTACCTACTTTTTAGCCATCACTTGGGAGGAAATTGAGGCAAATATTCAGATCATTCAGACCGTCTTCTAGTGCCACACCTCCTCCATCCTTACTCCCAGGCTCCATATACAGCGCGCAATTTCTATTGCAATTATTTGGCTAGTTCAGAAGAAAGTAATATAGATTTGCAAAGTGTAGGGGAGGGAGGGAGGGGCACATGTGCCTGCATGCCAGTGATACGGCTGATACCTGCCATCTCTGCTATCTCAGTGCAGTATCATTTATCCTAATACTGAATCTAGACTGCAGTGGGTTAATTATACAAGACAGAGCCCAGGGGAAGTAATCCTGCTAGGAAGAGTAGATATTAGTTAAATATTCCATTTCAATAGCTCAGGAAAGAGCTGCAAGGGACAGGTTTATGCCTTCTGAGTAGTCACTCTCCACAACTGCATCAGCCAACAGTGACTTAACCAGAGAAGAAACAGGACATAATAATAAACAAAGAAGGAGAACTGGAAGGATGTGGAGCCAATTTGCCCCAGGGAGCAGTTAACAACTCACTGCATTTCAACAGAACAGACCACCTTTTGATTCCTTCTTTAGTGGTTACACCACTAGGCCTTCCTTTTGCCTTCACCGCCTCCCCTTCCCTACTGCCCTTCTCCTGAGGAATATGGTGTTTTCTGGCAACCCTGAGAGTCCCAAAAGTTCTCTGGGGAAGCAGAAGAGGATTCACAATTATTCTTATTTCATCCTAGAGTGGTCTAATGCTCCCTAAAAGTTTCTGCTCAGTCATGACAATCGGTGCTTTGCAAAAATGGGAAAAATAATAGAGGTGAGAGAAAGGGCTTTCAGATTTGAAACTCCATTTCTCCACCTCCACGCCTTCTGCCCAGGGAGTCTTCTATATCTGGAAGGCACTTCTCTTTCACCTGTAACTCTTACAATCTCTAACTGACTTCAAAACTCAATTTAGATTCTTTTCTAGAGCCCTCTAGTTAGTTACTGCTTTCTCCCTCTTGAAATGATCTTGTATTTGTTTGCCTCTGTCAGTAGTCTTCACAGACATGTAGCACTTCCAGGGCACCATCCGTCCCTCCAGGGACCTATGTGCCTTTAGTCTCTATCTCTACATTGAGACAGCAGAATACCACAAGGTGCAAAAGCAGAGGGTTTGAAGAAGCTATCACCAGATATTTAAAGGGAAAGAGTGATTCATACATATGGAAGCAACATGGGGGAGAATTATGGACCAATCCTTTCACTGGTACTGTCAAGTCAGGGTACTGGGTAGCAAAGATAGAACTTACTAGAAGGAAGGGTTGCTGGATTCTTTAGCAACCCAAGGGCTGTTTTTAATTTAATTTAATTTAATTTAATTTAATTTAATTTATTATTTAAAGGCACCTGCATGAGTACTTTGTGCTTTTTGTTGGGATAAAGAATAGCTTTCTTATATCTGATGTTATGCTAACCTAAGTATTCGCATGGTAACTAAGAGATACACAGCCCCAATTCTGATGTTCCAAAGAAAACCTTGGTGAAACACAAGCCAAAGAGTATGACTACTGAGAGAAGCTCCTAACAATTAAGCCCAATCCATGTAAGATTAGAGCTATGGGTTCTGGGCCACAGGCTGCACCTGGCAGGGGGACAGGGGGCAATCACTGGGATTTTTGGTTTTTGTTTGGGCTTAGGCTTTCTGAGCAGCTAAATTTAGAGCAG